TATTTATTATTTACATATACATATATATTAACATAAATATCGATTTCCATATAATGCAGTCTATACGAATAAAATTCTATATAGTTCATATACTCTATGAAAGTGTATCGAAAGGTGGTTTTAGCATTTCCATTCGATAGCCGTTTCCAAAACTGGCACATGCAGCGTGAAACAGAGCCCTGAACAGAGCCAGCCAGAAACCCGCTCTGTTGCGGGTGTGTGCGAGGCACTGAGGCACCTCACAAAAGCCTTTTGTACTTGCGCAAATGTATTTTAGAATTAAATGTTGAGCAAATACAAATGTTTGGTTTTTCCAAAGTTAAAAATGGGTTAGTTTGCACAAAACCGTCACAAAAAAATGGCAACACAAAGACAACAACAACAGCARCAGAAGAAACAGTTACACACACATACACGCGTACGATGAACATAAATCAAAGTAAACAATTTGTTCTTTCAATTCTTTAACCGAAAAAAAATAAAACGAAAAGCATTTATTTTCATATACTTAATTTGGGTAAAAAAAAAAAGAAGAATAATTTAGATATTAACGGCGCATTGGCATGCGAACCAACGAAGCCAAAAATGTTTGGTGAAAAGAACAAATGCAAACGGAATAAGACAAATTAAGAAAAAGTTGTACAGACGCCTATTGATTTTTGCTTATTTGAAATACGAATGCTCACTGCTTATATTGAATTTGTACAGCTGCATGCATATAAGCCATGTCATTTTATCACATTAGGATTGTCTTTATATACAAATACAAATCGGGAATACTTTTAATTTTTTAAAGGTGTCGGTACCATTTTATCTGGTTTATGATTTGTGCAGCACTATTCATATTATTAATCTTATTTATATATGAGTTCAAAATTTATTAAATTTATCTCAATCTAATCTCTTAATTTAAAATACACCAAAACTGGCTGTGTTAAAAATATAATAAAACAAAATAAAAAAATTAAAAAATAAAGTAATAATAATTATGAATTTAAAAAGGTTTGAAAAAAATATAAACAAAAAAAACCAACAAATAAATAATATTAAATTGAATAAAATTATTAAATAAAAAACACATGTATATATTTAATGAAAAAAAACTGAATTTTTATTTTATTTATTTTTTTTTTCATAATTTTGGAATAAAATTATTAAATTAAAACAAAAATTAATTAAAAAGTCTGGCAGATTTTTTTTTATGTTTTATATTTTAATCTTTAACAAAAAATTGTAAAATATTGTATCCTATCTGAAATGAAACACGAACCATTCAATATTTTAATAAAATCATAATTTTTTTTCCCCCCAATAGATTTTACACAATGAAATTAAAGCTACAATTTCGGCTAGCAATCAATTGTGATCCTTTTTCTAAAGATATTGAATTTCAAATTAAAAACTAAGCAATACCCAAATCAAATCGGACTGTCAAAACTTATTATCCACACCGATGGCAGTTCAAAAATGAACTCCTAATGCCCGGAAGCACTTTTCAGAGTCGAGAAACCCAAAGGGTAGACAGCTTATGGCAGCGAGTAGCAAGTGTTTAGCCCGATAATAGCAACAACAATTGGAACAACAATAAGTCCAGCTAATGCTGTTTCGTCTTGTCAATCAATTCATTAATCACTAAGCTAAGGCACAGCAATAGAGAGGGAGAGAGAGCGAGAGAAGGAGGGTGTCCATGCCAGGTTTTATCTACGTTCTGCTTCATTTGTGCTAAAACGTGTTTATGTCAAATTCAAGTAATTAATCAAAACAAAAAGAGATGGCAGCAGCATGTGCGAGCGAGAGGGAGAGACAACGCAAATATATATGCAGAAAAAGTGCGGCTAATTTTCCATTATTCATCGTGGCTGCCTGCTTCCGGTTTTATTTATTTTTCTCTTCACACCACATCGTCATGAAAATTGACTTGTTTTTCATTTTCACGTTAAACTCTCTGACAAACTGTCAAATGTGTCTCGAGTGAAAAGTGTTGGAGGCGACAATTTAATTGTATCTATTCAACTAATATATCAACATAAAGCGAACAATACAAATATATATATATAAAGACAGATAGAAAAACTCAAAACAATTCGAGAAATGCTTTCTATCTCTGTGTTACGATCTCCAGAGGCAGCAGAAATTTCGTTTGTAAAATGAATTTGTTCTTTTTTATGGCCGTTTGCCACAGTTTCACAAATGTCGCCAAGCATTTTTATGTCGGCCATTAAATTATGGGCAAATGTTGTAAATTGTAAGTTTTAGATCTATGTGTTGTTGTTGTTACTAGGGACTGTTAAGATCTAAGGTAGTTTCAAGCCATAAAACTTAATTAGCAAGAAAAACAAATTCTTTGATTTAGATAGCGAAGGTTAAGGGGCTAAAAGACTGAGAGAATCTAAAAGCTAAAATTAGTAATTATAAAAATGATATATGATATGATATATATAATAACTCAGCATGCACATATACCTCAATTTCCAGCGCTTGTTGACTGCCAGGCTGCACTACTTCAA